AATCATTTGTGACCCTAGCTAATCTTAAAGAGTAACTTTCTCATGTATGTGAATTGACTCAGGAGTCTGTAAGGGCTTGCACGGGGAAGACAGCAGTGGATTTGGGAAGGGGCCAGTGCCAGATGAGTTCTGCAGACAGGCATGTATGTGCATAGTCCAGTTCCACTCCACAGGACTCGTGTCTGTAGGTGAGCAGAAACCAGCCTTAAAAGAGGAAAACGCAAAACAGGTCTGAAGCCATAGTCAAAACTCAGAATTAACAGCAAAACATGCTCATTGAAGTTCGGATTAGCGCAAAAGGCTGAATTCAATTGCTGGTCCAGCTTCTTAACAGTCAACTTTCCAATGATTTCATTTGGGAGCAAACTGTCCCTGCATACATTTGTGTAATAAAGGCACTCAAAGACTACGCATCTTTGTTTCCTGCATTTTTATTCCATCTTCATTTTTTCTTCCAAGTTCCCCTGTTCCATCAGGACTCTTGGTTTTGCACTGATTTCTTCTTTTCTTTTCTTTTTTCTTTTTTTTTTTTTTTCTGCATGAAAGCACTTTGACTGATTAAAAAGAGGTTTGATTTAAAAAAAAAAAAGTTAAAATTAAAACAAACAAATCCCCTCCTTTTCTTGGAGATATGTCTTGGTAATAGGATTTTGGAATATCTCCAAAGGGAAATATAAATCTTGCATCTTTATATGCTGGTATATAATCCATTAGATGTCCCCTAAGATTAGGGAATTTACATATGATGCATTTTTTCTGATATATTAATGGGTTTGGTTATTGCCACTAAACCATATTCATGTTATGTGTAAAAGATTAATGTCTAGGAAAGAACCTGAACGTATTTCTTTAACATACAATGAAGTTCATTGATTTCCTTCCAGATTTTAAACAGCAAACAGATAAAGCTAGAAAATTCTCAGGGAGCCCCTTCATCTTGTGGAGGCCACCTGCACTTTGGGCTGGGGGGCTGTGCTGACCCCTGCAATATGCTCAGAGCCTCCCCATGTACTAGTGCTTTGCAGGAAAGTGAATCACTCAATTGTAGCAAAGGAATGGAGAAGAAAGTTGTATGTTAGGTCATCTGCTGGAATGCTTTGTTGAAAGGTCTCCTAGGAGCTCTGGACAGGAGACATTCTGCAGGATTTTATTAGAAACCAAAGCACAGTTTCTGTGTCTTATAGGGCCTTTAGCCCATGGAGTCAAACCACCCAATATACCAAAAAAGCTTTATCTCAGGTTCTACATGTATGAATGTTCCACTAAACTAAAAACCAAATGGACTTTAATCCATCTACTTGTTCTTCAGAGATCATTTTAGATTTCTAGTGGAAAACTGATCTTTAAAGAAATAGCTCTCTTTGCTCTATAAGCAGAGGAGATTAATAATTATTTAGTCTTTATCCTTATGATTAGCAAAGTGCAGGGCAAAATCTTGCCAGAACTGTAAGCAGTGGCCTAACTATTTAGCAGCTCATTTGACCTGGTTGCAGACTTCAGTATTCACCTTTTAGCTTTCAGCTTTTATAAGAAGACTCAAATGAAAATAGATACGCACAATTGTTATTGACAGTGGATGAAAGAGTTCCTTCAGGTTTCAAACATGGTCCAGAGCCTGCCTTGTTCTTTAGGAGCATGAATGTACTTTCTGATTTTTCTGTTTTCCTTTGGAATGTGACAGAGATCAAAACCAACCTGTCAAGGGCAGAGAGAAGTAGAAACTGGAACTTGCCTTTTTCTTGTTTTCTGTATTTGCTTGTGCTGGAGAAACAGAGGCAGAGAGAGGAAGGTTGACAGGTGGACAAAAGAGCATCCCAGAGGACTAGAGAAAAAGTCTAAAACAATTTCACTGTCTCGGATGCTTTACCAGGTCAGATAATCACTTCATCTCTGGGCTGACCTAGAAAATAATGACAGTTTTTTTTCTTTTTATTGTTCATTTGCTGCTTCCTTGTCATAAAAACAAAACACCCTTTTATTTGTTTTTAGCTATTTGCTTTGGGGTCAGTGTAGTAATGGTCCTTGATAGCACAGGATGTGGAACATTTATTATATCTTGGTTTTAACAAGTAATGTTCATTCATACTATTTATTATGTATTTTTGCAAAGATATGACATTGATTTAATAGTCTCATGTTCTTCCTGAAAAGATGTCCCTGAGTTGTCTTCATAACATTAAAATCAAATGTGTTAGTATGAACCAAAATGCATGCAAGACTTCTGCCCAGGAGATGATGTGGCTATAACAGAAGGCCCTTAATAGCTCATTTGAAGAGTTTTGAGCCATAACACACTACTACAGGCTCTCTTAGTAAACTGTGACTGTCTCCCATGTAAAGCTCTGAACATTAGTTTATTAAAGCTTATACCGCTGTGGTTCAAAGTAGTTGTTCAAAGACCCCTGGTTTTCTTAGAGCAGGAACTTGCTGTTGCTTTGATTGACCACGTAAACCTTAGCATGTATATGGATTGTTCATAGCAAATCCCTGAGGTTAGAGAACTCCTCATGTGATTTAGGGAAGTAAAGATCAAAACCTCAGAAGTCTTGAGGCTGTGTGTGGTGCATTAAGTTTTAAAGATGTGCTATTTCCCTGTACAGCTGTTCTGCAGTAAGGGGGGAGTATGCTGTGCTGTGTAGGTCTTAAGATAACATATTGGTACATCACTCTGCTGATTTTTTTAATACACTTTTAAAAATTCTTTTCCAGCTAACTTGGTTCACTCCTAGTGCTTTGAGAACATGGAAAGAAACATAACCAATCCTTTGTGCTTTGATTACGTGATTACAGGGTAGGTTTCTTCTCTGAACTGGCTCCTTTGCACAATTCTGGTAGCACCAAGGAGCCAAAATCTGACCGATGTCATCAGATAGATTGCTGTGAGTTTTTGCACTACCAGCCCTCAGCTGGTGTAAAAACAGCATGGGAGGGGCATTTGCAGAAGACAGGAAGCACAGTTGTGCTCTTTTGATTCTTGGCTGGACAAGGTTCTGTAAGGATGTTGCAGGAACTGTACCTAGCTATAAGCAGCTTCCACAGTCATCCAGTGTACAGTCTTGGCTGCTATTTTAGGCTTGTGTTTTCCACAAAGTGTCAAAAAGGCTGCAAATACAATATCAAAGTAGAAGCCAAGTCTGTCTGTTAATTCTTGTAATGTGTTACAGTTACTGTTTTCCTTATGAATGAGTTAGTTGAGACTGGAATGAATGTTTGCATGTTTGAGTCTCTATTAATTGAACACATTAATGTATCATTTGCTTTTCAACTATGTACTGGTTTTGTTTTCAGGCATTTAGTGTAGCAAGAGTCTTGGAAAACAAGAAACATCTGTTAATTCTTTTAATGAACAGAGAAAATTTTTAAGGGGTTTAACTCACTCCTATCACGTAGTTTCTCTTCTTCTAAGGATGCTGAGGAAAGAAAACACATAGTCTGTGAGGACTGTCATTTTTCCTGATAGCTGACCTGTTCAGAAGGATCTTGTTTCTAAGGGATTTAACAGTGCAGTTCCTTGGGAGTAGTTATTAAGCAGATCAATAAAGCTACTGTAAAACAAGCACAAGGGAATATACCATGTTACATCTGCATGCATTTCCTGACAGTTTTAAGGTACTACACTCACTGATCACAGTCTTAGTTTTCATGTAGACCCCACTTCTCTTCTTAAAAATAAATAATAATGATAAAAAAAAACTGGAAGATTTTTTTTTTTTTTTTGGAGATACCCATTTCATACCAAACCTTTTTTGGAGATCCCCATTTCATCCCAAGCCTGTCTGTTCGAGACAATCCAGCAGTGTCTATCATTACTGACTTGCTGATTACATCATGCTTTCTTCATATTTCAAGATACAGATATTTAATAAACGTCTCAGTTGAATAGGGTGGTGGTCTTGGACAAAAAGCAATACAGAAGTTTTGAAAGTAATTCAAACAGAGCAAGTTATTTGAAACTTGGGAA